GCAAAACAGCTATCACTACCGGTTCAACCCCACGAACCGGCTGTGATAGTCCACCTATCACCTGTCGGTTATGCTATCACTTTGTCGGTTGAAGTCACATTCTGGTATTGATACTTATCACCGCTTGGTTCGAAAAGCAACTGGCGATGATGAGCCATTTGTGAATGTCAATTCAGTTGTAGCAGTGACCTGAGGGCACCATGTTACAAACTGCTCATGGCAGCGGTTGGAACGGGGAATTTCGGGGAGGAAGAAGAGTGGCATAGGTCCGGCTTGGAAGTTGTAGGAGATAAGTTTGTTCAGGTCAAAAGTTGTTACAATCTCATACGCAACTAGTACTACTTATCCTCCTCGGTAAAGGGCCTCACAGAGCACGCGATTCAAGCCCATTCAGCCCCAGACACTCGGACGCTTCTGGACTCGCCCTTATGCCTTTCCTGGGACTGGGCCCGGCTTCTGGATGTCTTGGATGTGGGTTGCTGACATCCCTTCCCCTTGAAAAATGCCTGAGCCCCTGAGCACTGTACCGAGGTTAAAGAAAGGTCACGGGAGAGACCAAGACTACGCGCTGGGCTTTTGACTTGGGGGCATATCAGCGTATGGGCATTGGGCTGTCTGGCCGGCCTGGCCCATCAGGCCTTAGACTTAGGCCGAGCAGAAGCAGAGCTCAGTTCGTGTCCTCCAGATCCGGTGACGGGTGCTGCAATCCGCGTACTCAGTAGCGGTGGTCCGAGTCGCAGACTCGGAGACGGCGGCGCTCCAAATCGTGGACTCGGCGGCGGCGGCACTCGGCGCTCCAACTCACAGCCTAGCTGCGTCGGCGGCTAGCCCTTGGGCCTCAGCTCCTCGCCCGCCGGCTGCCTCTCCGTCCTCGGGCCATTCCTCTCCGGGCTCCGGCTCTCCTCGTCTCTCCTCGAACGTCTCCTACTCTCCTGTGTGGCTGTGTGGTGGCTGGTGGCTACGCCTGCTCATGGCCAGTAGGCAGTGGTAGCTGGTCAGCGGCGGCTCGGCTCCCAACCAGGCACGCCCGCATAGGGCAACGATGACGCCCGCCCGGCTCTCCCCGGCCACCGTCCATCGGTAACGCCGATGTCCGCCCTACCTGAAGTTTTGTGCTGGGTCCGCCTCTAGTGCTAGGGCAATACACAGCTCGGTGCGCCTACATCTCTGATAGCCATCAGAATTATTTCACATACTCTCCGTCCCGAAAGTGTCGCTATACGATGTGTGCTAGTCAAACTTTCTTAAATTTAGATACATTTATAGAAAATATTAGCAACATGTATATCTTCAAATGAGCTTATATTATAAAAACATATTCAACGATCTATCTAATGATACTAAATATGTAACATAAATAATAATATTTTTTTATATATATTTGGTTAAATTTACAAATGTTTGACTATTCGATTTATAATTGCCGCATTTTAATACTGCATGCATACTGTGTACGTAGAATGTTGCCTTGTTTGAATGACCACCGTCTTTTCCAGTCTTGGGTGAAAAGTATTTATCAGTATCTTCGCTTTTCTATAATATAGATATATTCAAAATAATGTAAAGACACCTTCCGTGGTCTTTGGGCAATCCCACGTGACAAAGGGGCTGGGCGGCGCCGTCTGCGCTGGCCTGAGCCCTATCTTCTTCTCCTCCTGCTCCGCCTTCTTCGTGGTTCCGGACTTGCCTCCCTTCTTCCCCATTGCACAGATGTATGCGCGGGTTTTCACTCGCATTCAGCAAAGAGGGAATTCGTCTAGGGTTTGGCAGAAGAGTTTGGGCGCGAGAGGGCAGAAGGCAAGAAGGCTGACTCAAGTACTCAACACACGCACGTCGTGGATGCGGTCACCACTAGCAACTGTTGTTCCCGCAGCGTGCTACGAATTCAAACCATCCCGAGCTCCCTCCATCTTCTCTAACTCTAACCTCAACGATCAAGCTTCAGGATTACACCAACAGTGACGTTGCCAAACTTTCCTTCTTTCCTAGATAGACTATGGGCCTTGACTTGTCTATCGGCTGAATCAAGTAAAGCCATGGGTACCAGGCTATACAAGCCGAGAAGGTACATAGTGTGGGTAGAGATTTTGAAGGTGAAAAAAAAATCCAACAGAGGTGAGCTGTGCTTTGGTAGATAGGCGGGGACGTGACACGGGTGTAAACGGACGTGTATCCAGACCCATCCGTCAGGTTGGATTGAAATTTTAGATGCGTTAAACCTGATTTTCAAAGCACCTTCAAGGTTGAGATATAAGATGGATAGGAGTCAATTGGGTGAAAAGTATTTATCAGTACCTTCGCTCTTTTATAATATATTTATAATATAGATAGATAAATTAAAAATAATGTAAAGACACCTTCCAAATTTCAATATAAAATCCCACTTTTTTTCATTGTAAAAAAAACCCGAAGGAATCTAAGTATATACATATGGATATGAATCATCTCTCTTTCAACGACAAAATCAAACTGGTTTCAGAAAATTATATGTCTTGGTAAACGACCTATAATTTTATATGAGGAAAGCAAATTGTTACCTGAACAATTAATTCAGTTATTTAGAACCGGAATAATAATTGATACTACAAAGTGCAAGGAAACGATACAAAAATACCATTGACATGGAAGTAAAGGCAGAAGTAGTGCCAGTACGTGTTGCAATGAGTAGTCTGTTCTCTTAGCCATCCTGGTTCAGACCTTCTCAGAACCTAGTTGCTCGAGATGACGAAGCAAATGATCCATCTCTCTGCTGGACATGTTGTGTTGTTTGCAGTTGGTCGACGTACAGACAGCCTGGCAGGAAATGATCGAGAAAGTAATGGCTGCCCACCCTGTGGCCATTCCCTATCATCTCTTTGTCCTGAAGCCTCTTGATTGAGAACAACTTCTTGTCGAACACCACCCTCGCGGAGTAATCTTCCACAAGCTTAGAAAGGGAGACCAGATTTACACCCCCATCAGGAACATGTAACACGCCTTCGAGTGTTATGGCATCAGTGTTGATGTACCCGCATCTATGCAAATATTCCCGCCGACACCTTTGATAGCATCAATCGGCAGGTCGACCTTGTCAGGGTACGGTTTCAGAAAACCAGGGTCCCCGTTCCATGTCATGTGGCTGTGTGCGCCTGAGTCCATTATGAAGTTCAGCGAGGGTTGTGGTGATCCTGATCCAGCTTGCATCGGCGTGTGCAACACACAGCCTTCTGGGACTTTGATTGTATCGTGGTACGTAGCTATGTCTCCTTGACAGGCTTTAGGAGGTCCCAGACCACACTTCTCGCAGATCAACGAAGCACCGCATGGGCAGAAGCTAATATATATAAGAGCACGCAGTATATCAGTTTAGTATGGCAAGATCGGAGTTAGTTTGTTCTATGCTATCTGTAATATGCAAACTATAGACTACTAGCTAGGGGATAATAATCGTCAGTCATTATTTCAAGTAAGATTTTACTTCCCTCCTGTGTACGTAAGATTTGCCTGCTGGTGTGGCTATATCAAGGTAGCTCCTAAGTAATCAACTAAGTCATATACAAATACAAGGGAAAATTTACTACAACTGTTGAAAATCCACGGTGAAGCATAATGGTGCTCATAAATAGTTTTCACCTTTAATTTTCCATACATTGTATTCTTCTGTTGATAAAATAATAATCAAATACTAAGATACTTTTGAGAAGAAAAAAACAATTCATGTGAATTTCGTACATTCAACACTCAAATTGTTTAAAAACACAAAGCCTAGCATTTATAAGTCAAATTATGCCTTGAATAAATGTTTAGTGCTGCTGAAGACTGTATTATTGTCGAAACTAATTTTCTAGGTGGACAAAAAAATTTAATGTGGCATCTAACCTAATTTGAATTAGTCTCACGGTGGCTCATATATGTGTTGCTTTGAGATTGTATATTGGTCGTTGAGGGTGAGCTAGTCCAAATAAGACTTTTACAATCCATACCATCAATCTTGGATCAACTAGTTTACGTTAAGCATGTACTCCCACCAATATAACATATTAGGAGTACATGCTTCACGTGGAGTACATGCTTCACGTAAACCATCCATTATATTGGTGGGAGTACATGTTTCATGTAAACCAGTTGATCCAAGAACTGTTTTACGTGAAGCAAGAACTTCTTAATATATTTACTTTAGACGTTGGGTGAACCATGTACTCCCACCAACCTATCCTTATATATCGTTGTAACTCACCCTTAACAACTAAAATGGCATTAAACCAACCACCACAAAACGTATAAATGAGCTACCATGGATGTACATTTAGTTAACACACATTTAAGAGGTTTCTATTCCAAAGCATCCATCTAACCAAGCAACCCGCTATACATCACCCTGTATCAAATGTCAAGGTTCAGACACGACACTTTTCCAAAATCAATTTTGTGTTCCCACTTTGTATATTAAATAAATTCCATTAAACCCACACAATTTTATTGTCATTTAAATATTTACATACTCGATCCCCTAGTTCACTGTAAGATTAAAGTTAATACGACAAAGCCAAACCTAGTAAGTTTGGTGCAATAATAAATCAAATTATACGTATATTTTAGTGCATATGTGGATTAATATGTTCAGATTTTAGTTCAACCTTATGAGTTATGATCTCATTTTTTAGCACTTCACACTATGTAGAATATATATTACTAAAAGAATTAATGCCAACAATACTTTTAAAGGTCCTTAAATAATAAAAGTAAACGGGGAAGTATACAAAATCTTTTGAATGAGCCCTTTCACATATTAATCACATCATTGTGTTTATAACGTTCAGATTGCACATAATGTATATCCCATAAAAACCAGCCCTTTTCGCAATGCAAGTGCATGAGAAGTAATAGAGTATATTACCTTTCATATCTCAGATGACTAACCAAGCCTCCACAGGATGATTGTTGGTGACGTTTTTTTTTCGATGTCTTCATCTTCTCCTACGTCGTTTTCTTCTTCTTTTTCCTCGATTTCCTCTTTTTCATCACTTTCTTTTCTTCTTCTCCTCCACCTCCTTTTTTTCCTCCTCCACCTCCACCACCGCTACCAGCACCATCTCTATCTCCTCCTCCACCCCCGGCTTGACCACCTCTTCCTTCATCTCTACCATCATTGGTGCCACCTCCACCTTTATCGCCTTCTCCTTCACCTCCAGCTTGATCTCTCCCTTTATCGCTGCTACTGCTGGCGCCACCTCCACCTTTATCGCCTCCTTCGCCTCTAACTTGACCTCTTCCTTTAGATCTGTTACCATCGTCTTCACCTTCATTTTGATTTCTTGTCCCTTGATCTTTGCCAGCTACAAATCGATCTCATCCTGTGTCACTACTGTCCACCTCTTGTTCCCTTTGTTTGTTTGCAGCACCAGATCTGCCTGGTCCTTTTTCCTGCAAAGGAACAAAATATGATCATTGATAATTAATCAACAATATTGCTATTTTTATGCAAGGATGGACGGGTACGCAGAATATTATAGTCCACTCTCTTAGTTGTAAATTGTTGTTCTATTTAATTTTGTTCTAAGTTGAACTAGTGTAACTTTGATCAAGTTTGTAAAAGAAAATACACCAACATCTAAACCAAATTTGTTTCATTAAGTCTAATGTTGAAATATGTTTTGATAGTGCATTTATTTAGCACTGTTGAAATTTGACTTGTAAACAATTAAAGAGAGAAGAAATGTGGAATGGAGGGCGTAATAATTAATAGTGCTGGTAGAGTTGCACTGGCCCAACGCTGCTACCTGGTTTATGAGAAGATTGTCGAGAACGAATGCGCCGTCACGTAAGTGGCCATGGGCAACGATCTGTCCAGTTTTCTTGTCCTTCATGTAGCAGCCTGTCGGCTCAAAGACCGTAACCAAGCCATGGCTGCTTGCAAGCTGGGCCACAGAGACGACATTTCTTTGCAGCAGATCGTCCGCTGTCTCCTGGAAGCTACCAGTACCAAGAAGCAACCTCTGGTTAGAGGCAAGGTAGTTTGGCGTGCTGGTGTCACGAAAGCACTTGTCACGGTCCGTCTGCACGCTCTCGAGATTGCCCGTCATTGTCATGCCTACTGTATCGGCTCGGCCTGGCCTCTTCTGGCTTTTAGAACTGAAACCAAATCACATAGATGATGTATCGAGTTCTTCAATTTGGTTGTGTAAGTCTATTTGAACCGACGAAATAAAACATCATTTGTGAAAAAAAAATCTTATTTCTCTGCACAGGACGTGATATACAGAGAGAATGAATAGACGTTGAACAGAGTCATGGAAAGAATAGTGCTTATGCTGTTATGCACCAATGCACATGAAGAAGCAAAAGGCCATGGGAGATTTTGATTAACTAGTCCATCAACCTGTCCTCTTACACGGGCTAGAATGAATATTAGTTACTACTTAATGCCTCTAACTAATAAAAAATACTTATAATAAATAGCATGTTTTTTCTTTGTTTATTTTCTAATACAATAGGTATAAGATAATCTGTAGTTCCTATACCATTGTGTTAAACTTCTCAATTACTCAACTAACTGTTTTTTCATTCGTATCTATAGTTTTCTTCCACTGCATATCGCCTGTGTATCTTCAATTATTATTTAGTTGAAACCCATAGCTTAAATTATAGTGATTCTTGTTGCAGCCCATATCGTGTATGACAGAATCAAATTTTAAATTTTAAATTTTAATCTTATTAATTGCTAAAAAAATTATCCTTACATAAAGTTAAAACTATTGTGCTTCTAAAATCTATTATGAATACTCCTTCTAGGCATTCTAAAAATAAGAATTTGATGTCATAGATTATACTTTTAAGTACTATGATGGCATAAATAATCATTTATAGCCCTGCATCACATCACACAACATCAATGCTAGAGCTTGAAGTGAGATTTAGGATGGGGTAGCCATGCTAATCGCAAAGGGCTATTAATAACTATTTGCTCAAAGGAATCTTAAAGGACAAAAGGTATTGCACCTATGATCTGCACTAATTCCTATTTTCAAGGTATTTGAATTTCTTATAAAGGAATTATATGTGTAGTAATGTTTATACTATCAAAAAATAATTATCTTAATCATTTTTTGTTAAAATGTATAAATATCTAAAGTAACAACTTATATAAATTACATGTCATGGACATTAAAATAATTTTACATAATTTGCAAGTATCATTAGAATATGAATTATTAAGGAATTTTTTTTATGATCACTGAAACATATATATTTATCGTTCACATAGGCACATGTACTTGATCTGCATGATGGTACAACATTTTTGTAATTTAGTCAAATTTTAATTTATTAATATTAATAGAAATGGGTAATATAGAAATATATATGCTTTATGGCTACTTAAACATTTTTGTAATAGATGCTGTTGCTAATTTAATTGTAGATTTCAGAAGATATTTTAGTTTTTAAATAATGACAAAAGTGCTAATTTAGATGCAAATTTATGGTGTTGCGTAGATTATCAATCTCAATAATACGTGGGTACTATAATATTTCTAAATATAGTTTCATGGTTTAATTTAACACAATAGCAATCCTAGTAATTATTCATGCATTCCACAACCTTATCCCGTCACCATTCAGAAAATAGAATAGATCTAATGGCTATTATTATCAATGGTGATTCCAATGGCTATTATTATCAATGGTGATTATAGTCCATTGAATTGATGGCCAGATGTTACTGATTTTGGTAAGAATTTGTAAGATTTATCTTTTTACCCTAGTGGATGTCGTGAAGAATAACGTGAAGGCTCAGTTAGGCACCTCCGGTTAGAGTTTCTTGGATTTATCTTTTTAGTATGATATGTATTTAGTTGAAACCTAAGCTTAAGTTATATACTTACACATGATGTTGTTTTTTTGTCTTCGTGAATTTGTATTTTAGCTTTCAAATTTTAATCTATTTTTTTTAAAAAAATTATCCACATGTTAAGTTGAAACTGTATTGCTTATTGCATTTTACATTGGTGTATAAATTGTCCTCTCTGCTTATTCAAGATGTTGAATTTTTATATTAAATAATTATATGTGTAGTACTATTGTTTCATAAAATATATAGGGCTTAAAATTAAATTACTAATATTTATATGAAATATTTTTATGAAGATGTATAAAGTTATTTAACATAATAACTTAAAATTTTCATTATCATATAGTATTAACAAAACTTAGTGTGAAATTGTTAGTGTTATTGCTATATAGTTTGTTAAACAATATTTTCCACATGATAAGCTATTCAATAAAAATTTATTCTAATATATACATGTTTACTTGGTTTACATGATGGTACATAGCATTATGCCACTTTTAACTTAACATTGGTAGAATGTGTAATTTAGAAATATATAGCATGCTTTATAGATATTGAATCAGTTTTTATAATAGTTTATGTAATAAACCAGATGGATAATTTAGCTACAAATTAAAAGGTTTTATCTTATAATATCTTCAATAATAGCAAAGGTACATAATTTATAAAAAAATAAGGTGTTACTTAAAATTATATTTTATAATGTTAGTGTTGTGTGGTTTAAATACAGAATTAGTGGTTATTTGGAAGTATCTTTCATAATAGCATTGGTGGATAACTTAGATGCTAATTTGTTAGTGGATTATTTTAATCTTTCATAATTGCAAAAGTGCATTATATAGGCACAAATTTAGAGGGTTATTTTTAGTTATCTTTTATAATGGCAGGGTGGTATATTTACAGGCAATATTAGCTAGTTCCGTCGGTTATATTTTCCATCAGTACACCGTCAGAAAAATATTTTTCCATCAGAATACGCATTTTTCTGTCGGTTTTTGCACACACAGGCCTATTTGAGTTTTCAGTAGTGAATGGCAGAGGTGGCTAATCTTTTTGGCAAATCAGAATAGATCCTATTGTTATTGTAGAAGACGCTAAATAGACTATCAAATTGAAGGCCAAATCATTTTGATTATTGTATGTATTTATGTTTTTTTACCGCATCCGATAAAAATTAATGAATACTCCATTGGATAAGAATATGTTGTTCTCCAGAATTGCCAAAAGTGACTGTGAAGCCGGTTCTTAGGGAATGTGAGCCATACATAGATTTTGTAGAAAACATTGCTTAGCCTTGAAAATGAACGACTTGATGGATATAGTAGCTATGAACTCTAGGTTATCTAAAATGGGATGTAGACATGTTTGACGCGAACCAAACCTAAGTACTGTTGCATTATGCATTCACAGTAACGAAACTGTGACATGTGGATCTGGACTTCTGGATAGTACATGTGCGGTGCGCGTACCTGTCGTCTCGTGGCTTTTGTGATAAGCCGCTACCTCCTCCTTTGTCCTACAGACATGGACGAACAAACATTTAGCCACCTTTGGAATACGGCAATGATGAAACACAGAAATTAGGAAAAGTATAGGAATTATGTAGGATTGCAACTGCAAAATAGAGGATTTGAAAATATAGGAAAATTGTATGAATAGGTGTTTGGAGGGGCATAGAAAATTCAGAGGAATAGGATTCATAGGATTGGTTTAACTAACAATGTGACAACGTGTTATTTTACAGAGAAAAACCATCTGCTGCTAGAGGAACGCCACCTACACGTGAACCAGCACACCAGCTAGCAAAAGCATTAATCTCATCCTTTGAAAACCATTTGTCTTGTTCCTATGCGTGAGCCAGTGAAACAAAGAGGTTTCAGCGAATGTTTCTCTCCCATGAAAATCCTGTGAAATCATAGAGTACCAACAGTATTTCTCCAGATTTCTTAAGAGTCTTTCCTGTGAAGCAAAGACACCTACAGTACTATTCTTTAGATTGCTCAATCCTTTGTTTTGTTTTGAGAACCCTCCAATCCAAAGGAGCTTATGCACTACTAGCTCAGAAATGGACCGATATCGCTGCATGCAGAAGGCTCTGACCTAGAACAAGCCACTCCTGTGTAAACTATTTCTAGAGGCGGTCAAAAATACTCTGTAGAGGTAGACGTTCCAACCTGTGCACATGTGTCTCTAACAATACAAAATTTTTGGAGGCAGATTTTCAGCCGCCTCTATAGATTAATTTTTCTGAGGCGGTTCTAAATTGAATTGTTTATGCAAATATATTAAATAAAACATAAGAAAATATTGGCGCACCGGCCGTTGTCGCTGACCCGACCCCACTACTCCACCGAGCCTGCGCTACCACCAGCAAGGGCCTCATTGAGGCTAACACTGCCCTCTTTGCCTCTAGCCGCTTCCACGTCGGGAATGCCGCCCGCGCTGTCTCGGTGGTGCCAACATCATGGGTGGCCAGCGCGAACGCAGCCCACATCTCAAGCCACATGCACCACCGACGGATGGGGAGGCCATGCTAGGGCCGGCTGAGGATGCCACCTGCCTGAGCTGCCTCCTAGGACCCTGCCTGCACCGCTGCCGGCCTAGGAGGCTGCGCTGGGGCCGACCGAGGATGCCGCTTGCCCGTGCTACCACCCGAGACTTCGCCTTCACCACCTCCGGCCAGGGAGGCCATGCTAGGGCTTGTCAAGGATGCCACCTCGCTGGCCCGGGAGGCCACGTTAGGGCCGGCCATTGATGCCGCCGCCGTTGGGGCCAGCCATGGACACTACTGCCGGTAGAAATTGAGGTTATTTGGGGAGGCAGTTGGTAAACCAGCGGCCTCTAAAAATTTATTTGTAGAGATGGTTTTTTAGCTAGGGTCCACTAGTTATATGTTTGGAGGCTAATTTTGATTGAGCCGCCTCTAAAAAAATGAAGGTGTCTCTTCATTAGTAGTGACCTAGTGCTATAATTTGCATGGAGGATTGATTTAATACCGTACAACGCAGACATAAAAAATACCCTAAGATGCATGCATGCGTTGGTACCTGATTGATTCGAAGAGTTTTCAGCACGTATACGCTGCCCAGTAAATGGCCCACGCCAACGATCTGTCCGATCACCTTATCCTTGACGTAGCAAAATCCTGGCTCAAACGTGGAGACGAAGCCATGATCATCAGCAAGCTGAGCCACTGAGATGACATTCCTTGCATCCCCTGATGAAGCAATGTAGCGGATGCCTGGCACCTTGAAGCGCTGGGTCCGTACTGACCCATGCCCAAGAATGTGCAGACCTTCCACACCCGCCGGGGCCGGGAGCAGATATTCAGGTGCCTCTTGGAAGTCGTACAACATCTGCCGATTGGAGGTATGGTGGATCCATGCGGAGCTGTCCAGAACCCAGCTGGTGGCTGCTCCTACATCCAAAACTGCAACCACGTAGTTGTCGCCAACCCGTTGGCCATGCACAATCCTCTCCTTGCTTTCAAGCTTCTCTATCCAGAACTCATCCCGGTGACACCACCCTCGCAGAGTAATCCCTGGTAACCTGGTTGACGGAAACCAGATTTACGTCGGAGCCAGGAACAAATAGCACACCATCAAGTGACCCTCCTGTACTGTCTATGTACCCAATTCCTCCAACTTTGAGAGGACGAGACAACTCATCAGAATTGACTCTGGTGGCTGACCGTATGTCCCTGGTTCCCATCACTGACTCTACGGGTGGTTTGATATTTAGAGTGCCATGGTAGGCTTTTAGAACATCTCCGTTCCATGTCATGTGGTGGCATACGCCTCAGTCCATGTAAAATTGCTTGGGGCGGGTGCCACCTTGTTCTTCATATGGCGACAACATGGGAAAAGCATTTGCAACAATGGGGTCCTTAGCACTGCAAAAACAGCACGATACTTCTCTTAATATGCGATGAAAGTTGAGACATCACAAGACATAGCAATTCACTAAACTATGGCGTACTCACAACGTTTCAAGAATACTATGGCTTGCATCATAAATCAAATTTCTTTAACTTTTTACCAATTAAGAAAACAATATTAACATCTAGAAATTAAAATAAATGCTCTATCAAAATATATTACCATAAAACTAATATAATATTCTAGATGTTGGTGTCCTTTTTTCTATAAACTAAAGTTTGATTTAAGATAAAACCAAAGTAAGCCATCTTACTAGTATTAATTAGTGGCTTCAACGTAAGCTCCACGTTAATTCTCACCGGTTGCACTAAGAAATATGATAAATCTTAAATCTTAAATATTACTAATTAGAGACTCCAACTGAGGCTCCATGTTAATTATTACCAGATGCACTAAAATAAGATAAATCATATAAATTCTCACAATAACATTTAGCCTTAATTTCATAGACTCTAATCACCAACATCAATAATAACCATTTGATCTATTCTGATTTATAAAAACTTACCCACCTTTGCCATAATAAAATATGTAATAAAGCAACCCAAATCTTGCAATTAAACTACCCACCCTGCCATTGTGAAACATAATTAAAAATAACATTCTAAATTTGTATCTAAATTAAACACTCTTGCCATTAGGAAAGACAATTCAAAAAACCTAAAATTAGAATCTAAATTACTCACCTATGCCATTATGAAAGATATTTCCAAATAGCCCCTAATTTTGTATCTAAATTACACAATCTAGTATTATGAAAGAAAACATAAAGTAACACCCAAATATTTTTTTTATAAATTACCTACTTTTTCTATTATAAAAGATATTATATTGTAAAACATTTTAATTTGTAACTAAATTATCCATCTTGGTTGTTATATAAAATAAACAAAAACATCTCTCAATTATACAATTGATGAATAATTACCCATGTCTGCTGTTGTGTTAAAAGTAAACCATGAATCTATACTTAAGTTACAGACCTTTGCCATTAAAAAACATGACAGTACCCATATGTTATTATGGTAGATAATACACGTAATACCATAAATTTACATCTAATTACACACATGCTGTTATGATAGATAATCTATGTGAACCCTTAAATTTGCTTCTAAATTAGCACTTTTGTCATTATTTAAAAAAAACCAAAATATCTTCTCAAATCTACATCTAAATTATCAATGAGCAATGTGGTAGCAGCCCTCACTCCCTCCTTGGAACATGTGTGTAGAACTGAAATTATTCATTGCACTGCATCATTCGTATTTGCGTCACGAAGTATAGTTACCAAGCAATTGAAGTCTTTATTACCATGCTATTTAAATTTGATGCTTGATCAAACTATGAGCTAAATAACTTTGTTAAAGCAATTTGCTTCCTAACATTTTCTGTAAACCTCATACGTTGTTTCCCCCTCTTAGGTACTTGAGCTTTGAGGATATGTATATTTGAGGCGGGAGTAGCGACACGTGTGCTCATCACTTTTGGGCTATATATATCTTTGGGACACATGTGTTATAGTAATAATTGATGGTCTTAGTTGAATCTTTACTTTTGCCCTTATGTTGGAGCTTATGGTTATGGTTAGTTTGAGTTATGTTAGTTTTGTTAACAGTGAAGTCTCTCTTTATTGTTTGTCTATATGTTCATTAATGCTTCTGTGTTCTCTGTCGATGTGTTATTGTTATGGTGTTGTGTGGTAATATTCTTGGCGGATGTTGTTATTTTTGTTGTGGGGTGTTACACCTGTGACCCGAAATTCTTATTTTTAGAGATTACAAAAATAGTGTTCATAATAGATATTATAGGACAAAAATTTGTACCAATTAATAAGGTTAAATTTTAAAATTAGATTTACTTAGAGTCACTATAGTTTAAGTTAAGGTTTCGACTAAATGCACATTATATTAAAGATACATAGAGGGGACATGTAAAGGAGAAAAACTATAAATATGAATGAAAAATATTTTGTTTAGTAATTGATAAGTTTATCACAACCGAGTAGAAACTATAGAGTATCTGTAATACCTATTGTACTAAAAAATAAACTAAGAAAACATGCAATTTTTTATATCTAATTTTTATAAGACAAAGATATTACTTAGTAGCTAATGTTGGTTCTAGCCAATGCAGGAGCATGGGTTTATAGGTTAATATTATAAATTATAAGCGGCACAGTAGCTACAGAGGGTCTAGGGTCTTACAACATACCTATCTTCTTATAGGAATCCTGCACCCAAACCGCGGGCACCCGCTAGGGCCACGTCACCTGCTAACCTGTTAGCCGTCGGATCGAGCTAGCTCGCGACATGAACCGTCCGATGCAGATGATAGCGGGTCTGTTGCCCATTAAGGAGAAAAATCGGGCGCTCGTGAAGATTCGCGAACTCACTTGAGCAGTCGAGCTACGACCTATCTCCTTCGCCGCCCGAGTCGCGAGCATCCTGACCGCGCCGGTCTCCGGCTCGTCGTCGCCTCCGCCCTCCGCCCTTCCCTTGCTACACCCTCGGGCCAGCCTCCTTACCAAGCCGTCCGTGCCTTCCTCCGCCTGCCCAGGCGGATCACCAGCGCTGTTTCGGACGTGGGGCAGCGGCGCAAGCGAAAGGGCAGCGCCGGACACAACGACCTCGCCCACCAGTCCTGCCTGTCAGTGCCTTTTGCCTAGCAACGGCTGCGGCCTGAGGAACCGCATGTTCGACACCGCCGTCGTGAGCTCCATGAGCTCCAGCTGTAAAAAAGCAAGACGCACGACAAAGCCGGTGGAGAAGCACGGACAGCGCTCTAGTAGAGGGGGCAGCCACCGACATGGATGACGCCCTGCAGCTGTTTGATGAAATGCCTCCAAGGCTGTCCTCGATCATACAGGCCTAGAACAAGGTGGCAACTTTATCCTTGGCCATGTCTTGCTCGCATCCTCAATTCGGAATCTTCTATTGGATTTTTTCCCAATATTATTTGAACGCTGGTGTTGCAGCCAGCATCAACACAGAAGCATCTTCTCAAGCTCTCAACCAAAGCAAGGATACAAAGAAGATTGCCTTGACGCACTAGCAGCGTCGGCGGCAGCAAGGTACCTGACCCCTTCCCGACCTTCCCATTGCCTTGTATGTTTGAGGAGCATGAGTGTCGATGTTTGACCACCGATAGCCTGCCACGGGGATCTTCGGGGCAGTATATTCGGGCTTCAGCGTGTGCGGAACTCGACGGGGAATGCAAGAGACAGTCGATTTATCCTGGTTCAGGCTCTCGATCGTGATCGAGTAACAGCCCTACGTCCAGTCGACGTTAGCCTTGCGTTGGATTGATCGTGTGGAGTTGTAAAATTCGGTCCTTCCTCCAGGGACTCCGCCCTCCTTTATATAGTCAGGAAGCTGGAGTCCTAGTCGGTTTACAATGAGAGTTCCTAGTAGGATTACAGAATAATACTACTACTAGAATTACATGAAAAGAAACCTAGTTAGACTAGATCTTCTCTCTTCCTTGCGTGGTATCCCGTGGGTCCCGCATCGACAAGCCCCCAAGCACTTCATGGTTGAGCTCTGAAGCCTCGTCTTGTTCCTTCAGGTCTTGCCGAGTAGAAACAAGTGTCGTCCGAGTGCTTTCTTGAGTGAAACCTTGTAGCGCTTCCTGGGATCTTTGAGTGGTGTGTGCCTTTTTGAAGAAAAAAGCACATCCAGCTGGGTGTAGCCCCCGAGCCTCTTGCTATTTGTAACAAGTAGCTGGAGGGTCTTGTCTTGAAATTGCTCTGAATTTTCGTCGAAGGGTTGTTGGGTACACCCGGGTTCTTTGTAAAAAAGAACTCGGATATATCGTGAGGTCTTGAAGTGGTCTGTCTTGAATAGGTCTTCTTGGTGACGTGCGCTTTTTTGAAGAAAAAAATGCACTCACTGAGTGTAGCCCCCGAGCCTCTTGCTATTTGGAACAAAAAGTTAGAGGGTCTTGAATCCCATGTTTTTACGGCTCTTGTCTTGAAGAAGTCTTTTGAGTGACGTGCGCTTTTTTGAAGAAAAAGTGCACTCACTGAGTGTAGCCCCCGAGCCTCTTGCTAATTGGAACAAGTAGCTGGAGGGTCTTGAATCTGAGTTGTTCAAAGAACTGAAAACTTTCCCTGTTGTAGCCCCCGAGCATTATTAAAAAAGAACTCGGATATAGAATCTTGGCATATTCTCTGGTAGTCTGCTGTTGTCAGATGTAGAGTATGCTGCTTTCAGATGTAGAGCCTGCTGCTATCAGATGTAGAGTCTGTTGTTTGTCAGATGTAGTTACATGGTGGCGGTTGAACATAAATGCCTTTTGATCATGGGTTGTACAGTGTTGGTATATTCTTCCGAATATGCTTGTTGTTGAGTACTGTTCCTTCACACCTGAGTTCTCTTTTATTGAATTCTGTCTCTTCACCGTGTCCTTTGTTAGGTTTGTTCCGTTGGTGCTCTCGGTCCATGTGCACCGCTTTTTGGTCTATAAATATCCTCCTTGTGTGCTGTTTTGCTTCACCGAGCATTTTGTTGTGTGGTCTGAAATCTCTGTAGCCATGAATATGATAGTTTGTGAAGTAGAGCAGCCCCCGGGCATATTTTGTAGTTCTTGTATATCTTGTCATAGCTGGAGGAAGTCTTGTGATAGGGATTAGAGGTAGACTAATCCCGCAGTGGCATTGCTCCGGGAAGTTTGTGGTGGTAGTTGGAGGAAGTCTTGTGATGTGGGATACGTTTCTTCATCCAACAGTTCTGGGTTGATCCTCGACGCCTGCCCTGAGACTGTTCGGTGCAGATCAACACCATATCCGGTATCACATCGGACTTGGGTAGACAGATGCTTGCAGGCTCCTCTTGTTCCACGTTG